TTTTGGATGGGAAAAAGAAGAAAAAAAAATAACATAATTTCTCTTCTTAATATTCGAGTCTGGATGTTATTTTCATGCTTGCGTTGATGACACCGTTTTCCATATGGACAGGTTGAGTAATTTATCGCATCGGCTTCCAAAGTAGGATATTTGCACATGATTGCCTCATTCGGCTAGTCAGACTGATACAGCTGCACGTGAATAAAGTATATATAAAATTTTTAAAAATTTAAGATTAAAAACGCCTAGAAATGGTGTCTAAATGTGCGCACGCGCGAATGCGTGTATATACCTGTACAACTAATGTACATCCATATATATTATATGTATACATAATATGATAACATAATAATATAATATATATATATACGTATAAACACACACACACACATATATATATATGTTTAATCATTTCTAGTTCTAGAACTATAAAGGATTATCATATTATCAAATTAGACATAAGTCTATACTATTCAATGAAACTTGCTTGAAGATATATATATATATATATATATATATGTGTGTGTGTGTGTGTGTGTGTGTGTGTGTGTGTGTGTGTGTGTGTGTGTGTGAACCAATCGCACAAAGGGTAGTCCGAGGCCGGGGAGTAGCACTCTGATCTCAGCCAGAAATGACTTTAAAAAAAATTAATCCATTCAACTAATGATATATATACTATGCTAAATCGTGAGTACTTAGCAGTGTGAGCTGAAAAGTTCTCGGTTCAACCCACTTACACAAATCTGACCAAAGGACAACATGTCAGAATCTTCTTTAATTCCGTTCTTGGTTGGATAGAAAATATTTCATTGCCACCAAAGTAGATATATGTATTTGCATTTTTCCAAACATCTTTTTCATGCTGTCTTCTTTTTTTTATTTCATCAGGGGTAAATTATAAATTTAAATGAGAATCAAAAGACACAAATACATACATACATACATACATATATATATATATATATATATATATATATATATACACACACACACACACTTTATTTATATCTACAGATTATAAATGCCCAGTTATAAAAAGTCCCGCATTTTGTTTATTTTCCGATGCATATTAATGTAACTTCACTTTTCTTGGATATCTGATGGTAAAAACAAAAGATAAAAAACAACTTGGTCTTATTCTTTATAATTATAACTAAAGCATTGAGATATGAGACGACGATTTCGATTTGTTCAAATATGTTGCCATGTTTATGGGCTCAGAGTAATCAATATGGAGAATACAGTGTTCCTATACATAAACAGTGTTGACATAGAAAACTATACTTTTAAGGTCTAAATGATCGCTTCTCACGTGAAACAGCTATCACATACACACTCTACATATATATATATATATATATATATATATATATATATATATATATGTTGAATTTATCGAGAAAAATCTAGCAAAATGTCGCCTCTCAGACAGTAGCGAAACCGACGTCTAATAGGCGAGACTCCATGTATTTATTTGCTTTTCCTTTTTACAAAGAAACTATGCGAATGGTTTATTGCACTTTTAGAAGATACACTTGTACACGCATAGACACACAAATCCACATCCGCATATGTGTGTGTGTGTGTGTGTGTGTGTTTTCAAATTTCTCGGTCAGACTCACTTCACAAAATCTGTATTTCAATGACCAAAAAGAAGGCTACTGATTTTGCGAAGAGGGTCAGATCGAGAATCTTTCGATACCACATATACCTTCTTCATATCTTCTTCATATCTTCTTCATATCTTCATATATCGAATTTCTTAACAGTGATATAGTTTTTATAAAATATTTGATTTTTCGGACAAATTTTCCCAGATTTGGTGGCTGCTGTTGGAGAAAAGCATTAAAAAGAAAAATTAAAATTCTGTAAATCCATTATATTTGTCATTTGTTTTCTCTCTCTCCCCCCTTCTCTCTCTCTCTCTCTCTCTCTCTCTCTATATATATATATATATATATATATATATATATATATATATATACACACACATTCACACACACATTCACACACACATATATACATATATATATATATATATATAAATGTAATACAAACGTGTGCTTTTACAAATATTTACAGTTTATTCCGACACGTGTTGCGTCTGTTTCAAAGATTATATTAATAATGCTTGATCAACATAATTTTTATCATTTGTGGACACTTAATTCAATTAGAAATGTTCGTGACAAATATCCAACATCACACAATTAAAATATATCTATATTTGCGCACACTTAGACATAAACATGGGCGTACTTACATATACACACACACACAATCATGTATATATATATATATATATATATATATAGATAGATAGATAGATAGATATGTATTCATTTCGTAAGTTATGTCTTCGTCTCAATACACTTCATTACAAATATCTCTATCGAAATTTTCATAATCTTTTCTGGATCACTTCTTAATAATCCACAAAAGATTATGAAAATTTTCATAAAGATTTTGAAAATCCTTTAAAATACTTTTAACTGAATATTTATTTTGTAACTTTAGTGATGAGGTATTTAGTTTTCATTGGAGATAAAGTAACAGGAAGACGTCAACCTTCTTCTGAGTATTGTCACTGATTTCCAGCAATATTGGTTTCAATATTATTATTATTATTATTATTATTTACATAACAATTTTCTTGCTAACTTTTTCCAATAAGATTCTTACAGACATTTTAAACAGAGATTTTTCCGATAAACTTTGCATCAGATTATTCCATCAACAATTATCCAATACCGTTATTTTGTCATACATTCACTTGGATAAAATTCTCGTTGCTTAATGTTTCTCATCTAATGAGCTGTTTCTTTGTTCTTAGCATAAACAGATTCTCTCATTTTTCTAGCCGTAATTTGCTTGCTTGTATAGCTAGAGATCCGTGTGATCCTAGAGGTATGTACCACTCCTGGTACATCGACTTTCCTACTAAATTGGGGAAATATGTTAGTGGGGATAGGAAATAGGAGGCAATCACTGGCAAGCGGGGGATGAAGAATCGGCACACTTCCTTATTCTAGAGAAGAATTCTTTTTTTTCTTTCACATCGCTACATCCTTTTTCGAGATTAATGAGTCTCAAAAGCAGAGTCGGCATTTTGAGAAATACAGTTTTTGTTAGTTGCTTCGTTTCTCTCATATTTCAAATTATTTAACGTCAGTTTTTATGTAGTTATGTGTGTGTGTGCGCGCGTTATGAGTGTGTGTGCGTGTGGCTGTCTCTCAGTGTATGCAGTTGTGTTATATATTTGTGTACGAGGAGTTGCTGAAAAATTATCGGCCTAATGAAGAAGGTTTACCAAAAATAAATGTCGATCATATTTTTGTAAGAGGGCAATGAAAAGTTTTCAGCACCAACCACTTTTCTAAATGTGACCCAATGATCAAACCACTAAAATGCGTTCTTAACCGAGCCGATAACTTTTCGCATATATATATATATGTGTGTGTGTGTGTGTGTGTGTGATACTTACTGAAGTTTAACAATTAAAAGCATTAATCTTTAGTAACCGAGCAGATTTTTTGTAAGTAACATCCCCAATATTAAAAAAATATATTAGTTGATAGATAAAAAAATTCAAACACTTATTTTCAGATTATATATATATATATATATATATATATATATATATATAGAGAGAGAGAGAGAGAGAGAGAGAGAGAGAAACAAGGACAGAGAGATTTGTGAACCATACAAATAAACATATATATTAAAAAATATTTTATTCAGAAATTGCGAGTCATCTTAGAAAACTAGAAACCTGTAAACTGAAACAATTTAAAAAGTGATGAATGAACATATGGACAGAGACACGCCCTTTATAATTCACTTGTACGTCTTACACCTTTATAGATGCTGTTGTGATAGTTCTACCTGACAATCATTTATTACCTGTTGGCCGTCGATGTCAAATCAAAACAAAACCGAACCCCACTGTACCTTTATTGTGTCGGTCTACGTTTTTAATCACATACGATAGGAAATTCTGAGCATGATGTCATGTGACAAAACTAGTGTTTATGTCTTATGATTTGTCTTCGCCTTTCGTCATGAGACAAGCTGATGGAATGGCTTTCTGACAACAAAGTTGACTGCTACTTTCTGTTTAAAGGCTAACAGGTGATGAATTAAGTAGAGTCATCATAAAAAGCAATGATTTATTTATAGTCATAAAACTCGAAATAAAAAATGAACCCCTTCCTAGACTTATTTGTGAATCTAATGGAATGTTATGGACCAAAAATACGTTTTCTGAAACATACATGTTCACAAAAAAGCACATACAAACACATAGAAACTCACACGCACACAAACACTTAAATACATTCCTCATCCCGTCACCAAATAACTTGGCTTAAATGGACTTGCCACTGTCATGTCACGATTATTGATGGAGATGAATTCAATCTCCATTCCTATATCTGGTTTTCTTGACTATGAAGTACAGTAAAAACCTGCCATTTTTTTTTTTAATTATGAAAAAAATCAATGATAATAATAATTTATATGCATGCATAGGACACACGTCAGCATCTTTGTGTCAGGTTATAAAATGAAATTTCTTTTATCAGAAATAATAATTCTTAACAATAAAAATGTTAAAAGAAAAACCTATTTTGTACGCAATGTGTTGCGTGTACATACATCTTCAAATCCGCAACCTCGAAAGAGAAATACAAAACAATTTTATTTAATCTATATTTAATTATATTTAATCTATTTATTTAATATATTTTGTTTTTTAAAAAGAAGTAATATTTTCGCCATTTTCAGCGGAATTCACGGTGTTTATCGTTGAATAAATGAAATAAGTTAGTCAACCTAATTAATCTTGAATTACAAAATATCCTTTTTTTTTCTTTAACTATTAGCACAGAAATAAGAAAAGAACTATTTGTTTGTGGAATTTGATCTTTCACGTTTCGTGAAATAATAAAAAATATGATTAAAGAAAAGTAATATTTTTTATCTTCAAACTTTTGGGTTACACTTCATATAAGTGTAGCAATTGTATGTAGATAGATAGATAGATAGATAGATAGATAGATAGATAGATATCAAAACATGCAGACATTTATATATAGAAAGTTTGCTTAGTACAAACTGAAAGTTAGAGAGTTGTGTCTTGCAGTTATTTGTTATTGCAGTCAGTTCTGTTCTGTCTGAATTCTATATTTTAAATAAATATTCACATTTTTATATGATTTCAGAGCTTAAAACAATATTTTTTCACTCGTTTTCTTGGTTAAATAAAATAAATCTTCTTGCGACCATCATCAAGTTAATACAAAATACAAGACATTTATTCCCTAATTTCCTGTATATGAGTCTTGGCTTGTGTTTTAGAAACGACAACAATTTTGAAAAGTCTTCCAAGTTTTCAAAACTTTGTCTTGTATGTTTAAAAGGCCAAAACTTAAAAATTTTCTCCTTTCCAAAACCAACGAATGAGTGGAACTAAGGAAACATTTACATACAGATGTATTAAACATAATTTTCATGTCGATTACATTTTTCCCATTAGCGTTGATGTTAGTCCTCAAGTAAAAAGAATATTGGTGCAACAGATGTTAATTTTCACGACTATCAGAAAGCAACCTTTCAGAAAATTAGCGAGACCCATTATTAATAAAGTTTATTATACAAAGTTTATCATGCACACACAGACACACACAGACACACATACACACACACACACACACACACACACACATATATATATATATATATATATAAATTATAGTAAATATCCTCGTATGATTCTTATATTGTATAAAAAGTGATAAACAAAATATATATTTTTTTAGTTGACAAATAGTTGTAGTGAAATACATCCAAGCTAGACATATAAGCAGTTATTACTCTGTTTTGTTTCCATGCCAAACACTATATATATATATATATATATATATATATATATATATATATATATATATATATATATATATATATATAATGACAAATGTTAATGTTATATGTTCATTGGTATTTATATATATGGTAAAACTCTATAAAGTAGCACAAAAAATGAAGACCAATGGGAATGAATATATATATATATATATATATATATATATATATATATAGTTTATGAAAAACTAGGTAATCCGTATGGGTAGACCTAAGGAGGATAAAATCCAGATGCCTATGTGTGTGTGTATGTATGCATATAAATGAAATTTCTTTATATCCATGTATTTCAAATTTATGTTCCACTCATAAATCAGCAGTAATTGATTAAGTGCTATTTTTTCATCCACAAAATCCTGCACGGATCATTATTAATTTTTTATATATCTTTTTGTCGGAGCTGTTTATTTTATTTTATTTTTTTTTGTTTTGTTTTGTGTCCACCCTTCTTTGTGTATCCATTAGTTTCTGACTGAAGAGCTTGCTTTTCGGCGCTTTTGGTTCATATTTGGGATATGTGTAGCATAATGAGTATGATATAAAGTCATTTATATTGATGACGCGAATAAATAGCTAAGCATTTAAAAAAAGATCTCCAAGATGAATAGTGATGATTAACGTTGGATGTTTTGCGAAGGTATTGCCGTCTTTTCGAGATAGAAATAAAAGAAATAAAATATTTATTAAGTAATCTAATGTCAGTCTTTATGAATTAAAAACCGAGACATTTTATCATTAATAGGAATTTTCCATAACTTATTTTGTATATAAACACTGATGACTTAGTGATGGCCGGGTTATTTTATTATGAGTTTTAACTATGGATTTTACAATGAATAATTTTTCTTTTCAAATCATGCATGCGTTTTTCCCAAATTAATGACTGGAATTCAATTGAGATTCAGTTGATAACTATAAAACTAGTTTTCTACATCAGTTTTTGAGCCAGGAAAGATGTAACGCTGCATTCTACAATAACAGATTTATCAATTTTTTTCTGTTCCTCTTTCTTATGTTTCTACTTTTCTTTTCATCTCGATCTCTACCTCCAGTATTCCAAAGAATATATATATATATATATATATATATATATATATATATATATATATATATATTAGAAATATTTGTAAAATATTACTCAAGTAGACCACGATAATTCACTTTCAAGTAATTGAAAATATCTTGGATGTTTATGATGCTAAAAATAAATGAATAAAAAATATCGGAAAACGATATCAAACTTAGAATCTAATTTAATAAAAATAATGCTGATAAAATGTGTCGCGTCTATTTTATTGAAGGATGAAATGAGCGTGATAGAAAATGCGGAGGCGAACCCACGTGTCTGTATTTTCACTTTCACTTTCGTGGAAATGGGCTAGATTAACCGTCAAAAACTTTGATCCCCCCATTAACCAGTTTTAATTCAACAGAGAAAAACAGACACACAGACATTGCGCAATAGCATGCTTTTAATCATTCTTACATTGATCAGCCTTAGGATCGTCAAATTATATATATATATATATATATATATATATATATGTGTGTGTGTGTGTGCCTGTATGTGTATGTGTGTATGTGTGTGTGTATGTGTATTAAATGTTTACTTTTATTTTCACTTCTACTTATATACTAGCACAGTTCAAAATCACTTCAGCAGGAGAAAAAGAATCTCTTTTTTATTAAAATTTTCTTTCTTCATTGACGAAGCCATTTTGCTCCTTAAATTCCTTTGAAATTCTGAGTAACACCTCGTATTTTTTTATATTATGCGATTTAAGTGTGTACCTTAATGCTTAATTGCTATATATATATATATATATATATATATATATATATATATATATATATATATATATGACAATGGTCTTTGGTTTTTATTTTCAAGGCATATTTAATTTTTTTAATCCATGTACCTGATTGATCTATTCTCTCAGTTATGTAGTCTTGTATTTTAGTTCTGTTGCTCTATATTTTCTGTAATGCCATGAATTCTTGTTGCTCCTGCAAAATGACGTCGACCAAATATATCGATGTCTGCAATAACAAATATATAAAATATTCCATCACAATATTTTGAAAGTTTTAAAATTTCTCATATATATATATATATATATATATATATATATATATATATAAAAATCATTTCACCTCATGCACTGAAATAAACCCACTAAGATACAAACGGGTTACTGAGGGTGAAAGAATATAAGAAAAAGAAATATATTACTAAGGAGTGAGAACAATAAAAGAAGAGGTATAAAGATGACAGTATATAACGATTATATATATATATATATATATATATATATATATATGTGTGTGTGTGTGTGTGTGTGTGTATACATATACATATATACCTCTCTCTCTTTCTCTCTCTCTTTCTATATATATATATATATATATATATAATGATCAGTGAAATCATTTTGTCATTTGGTATGATTTTGAGGAGTGGATCGAGCCTCTCTCTCTCTTCCTCCTCTTTCTCCTCCTGTGTGTTTTTGCGTTTGTGTCTCTGTGTGTGTGTGTGTGAGTGTGTGTGTGTGTGTGTGTGTGTGTGTGTGTGTGAAATATACACAGACTCAAGTGATTGGCTCCATAATTTGGTGTAGCTACATAGTCTTTCATCCAGGCAGTCATTTGCTTGGTGCACGCGGTGGGAAAGATTCAATACCTATAAATGTGTCCTTGTGATAAAACGAATCCTGTGATGTGAAATCCTTACCAACGTCTTACCCATCGTCCCACCAGCCTGTCTTTTACATGAGATAAAGTTTCACTTCAACAAATGAAATACCTAATTGAACACGCCGACCTTTTGTCTTTACTACAAGCAATTAACAGCTTTTTCCTTACGTGTTTCGACAAGACTTTCTTCTCTATTGTTCTCTATCTCTCTTAATTTCTCTCTCCCTCTTTCTCTCTCTGTCTCAATCTTTCTTAATCTCTAGTCTCTATCTAAATCTATCAATCTCTCGAAATTTTTCTTTTCTTCTCTTCCCCCTCTCTCTTTCAATCTATCTGTCTTTCTTCCAAACACTTCTCTCTTCTTCTGTTTCACTCTTCTTTCTCTTGATTTATTCCCTATCCTCTCTCATTTACAATGATATTTTAATATTTAATTAATATTAAAAAAAAGTCTTGTTATTTTCCACGCTAGAGTTTTTCGATAGAGGTCATGTGACAGTAAGTATCCTAAAGACTCCAATACACTCCTGCATATGTTGATTCTTAGTAATGTTGTTGTTTTTTTAATGGTTTCATTTTTATTATTGTCCATCAATAAGTTGAATAGCAACAGCATGACTAACTTAGGCTTAGTTTGACGCAGGACTACAACAGGATGGCATCCCTTCTGCTACAAACTCGCTCGTGGTGTCTCACGAAATTTGTCAAGTGACACTAAGTTTCCTTGGCATTCACGACTAGCATCTACATCTTTATTTATTTTAGCATTTCTTCGATCATATTTAGGTGTTTGATGTATCCGGTATTTTTTTTTTTTTAATTTTCGCATTGAGCAAATTTCAAAGACCATTGGATGCAAAAAAGAAAAATATACGTACATATATATATTTAAAAGTTCTACCTTATTTGGAAATTCTCTTTTAGGTAATTTCGGAAAACTTAGTAATACACATCTTGATTACCGATGCAATTATTATTATTATTATTATTATTATTATTATTATTATTATTATTATTATTTTTTCACCCGAAGTAGAATTTGGTTACTTTTGCTGGGTATCGAATGACAACAGCTTTTTTTCAATATATCGCTCAATTTGCTCACCATTCTTGCTAATTTCAGTAAAGATTTTCGCTGAATAGTTTATCTTCATTAAATTTATTTAAAATTATTTTAATCTTTTGCAAAGGCTCTACTTGTAGTAATAGTAGTAGTAATAGTAGTAGTGTTAGCCATAAAAAAAATTATGCGATTACTTTTTTCTTTGCTTATGTTTCAGCATGATCAAATTGTTGGTCCTCAACACTTCTACCGAGGATCAATGCGTAACAACTATGCACACTCAATATATATATATATATATATATATATATATATTGAGTTGTATATATAGGAATTATTAAATTATTATTATTAGTAGTAGTTGTAGTAAGGTTGTAAATTTCATTTTCTTGAAAATAACCAATAAT